ACTAACAAAATCTAGATCAATTCAAACTATCTACATCTATCTATGCACAATAAACTTTTATAAATACGTAATGTACGGCCGTCCCAACAATTACTCATAATTTCATCACTCATGAACAATTAATTCCAGTCTTTCTTAATGTTTTTTACGTGTCATAAACAATACACAGTTATCTTTTAAATAAGCTTTAAATACGTGTATTCATGTATTCAGCCCTTCTTAACGTCCCACTGCTGAGCACGGGCCTCCCTTCAATAGGAGGGGATCAGGCCATAGTCCACCACGCTGGCCAAGTGCGGGTTGGCGGACTTCACATGTCTTTCGAAAATTTGCTAGCTTCTCTCAGACATGTAGGTTTCCTCACGATGTTTTCCTTCACCGTAAGACAAGTGGTAATCATGTTGAAAATGATTCGCACATGAAAATATCAGAGGTGCGAGACCCGGGATTTGAACCTGCTTCACTCGGTTACCCAAGCGAGCGCGTCACCACTGGGCTATCACTGCTTTATTATTTAAATACGTTATATCAACTAAACAAGTGATCTCAAGCTACGCCCTCACTTCCTCAACCGATCGAAATGAAACTTTGCCTTAAATGGCAATATTGAAAATTGCATAGAAATCGATACAGCCGTTTTAATAAGATGCAGATCTAACCTAACCGAACAAGCCTAACGTATCTGATATAATTTATGCTAAGCATTACTTGAAAAGCTTTTATAATAAGTCAGCAATACATACATGTACATACATACATATGTACATTGTACACGTATGTATTTATATAATACTCTCGGTATTTTTCCTTAGACTAATTAATTTTTACATTCACTTTGAAAACAACTTGCGAGGGATAAATTAATGTCCTCTGCGCAAATAAGGTAGACTGGCCAAATTAGAAATAAAAATATTTATCAAATAACAAAAAAAAATTCGGTAGAGACCTCAGGTACACCAGTAGAAATAAAGTGCCAAAAGTCACCTTCAACTTTTAGAATCGGGATATCTTAGGAATGGTGATTGTAAGGAAAAAAAGTATAAGGATCATTTTTGTAGATGATTTTATTATCAACAATTTTTATTTAGACTATATTTTTGATAAAACTTACCGTTTTCGAGAAAAATCCAAAAAACCGAAATATTTTACCTTTGACCTAGGATAACTTTTATAGCACACATTGGATCGATGGGGACTTTTGGCACTTTATCATATATATATTAGCACTTTATTATCTTATATATAAAATTTCCATGTCACAATGTTTGTTACCGTACTCCTCCGAAACGGCTTTACCAATTTTTACCAAATTTTATATGCATATTCAGTAGGTCTGAGAATCGGCTACTATCTATTTTTAATACCTCTAAGTGATAAGGATAAGGGTGGTCCTCCCAGACCCCACCCCAGGGACGAACCCGAGCGGAGCGAGGGTGAGTCGCTAGTATATATATATACCCAAGGTTTCTACCAAAATTCAGCTCTGTCAGAGTTTTTGTTAATTGAAATGTCTATTTTGGCCGGACTAAGCCGGACTAAGACTATTTTAACGCGTTCGAAGAAATATAATTAACTTGCAGAAACCGCGGCTACGCTCGCGCTAAAACTACAAAAAATCTCTAAATAGGTAGTTTCTTACATTCATCCCCTACTTTACCCCCTTATAGGATGAATTTTGAAAAATGTTGAAACACGTATTTATTTAATTTTATTGAAGAGCATTAATACCAATTTTCAAGTAATTCTAAACATAAATATTTTTTTAGATTGTATTATAACGTGTTTTCCTGAGGGATATAGATAGTCTCCCGCGGTAAAAAGTACCTGTGTCACTCTCCAGCCCCCTACAACTATCTCGACACATAAAATCACGCTAATCTGTCATTCCGTTTCAGCGTGAAAGAAGAACAAACAAACACACTTTCATATTTATAATATTAGTATGGATTATTATAATGTTTCCGCGAATTACGACGTCACGAATACTCGTAGTATAAACTATTAATTAATAAAATCTAAACTGGCCGTAGTAATTCCGAGTGAAGGGTGAGATTGCTAAATTTTTAAAACTCACTTCCGTCTATGGTTTTACGCGCGGGTTAATTTGTATTTTGACCATAATTCCTAAATGAAAATATGTAGTTGTAAGAAGATAAATAGCAGAAATCCAGATTTTTTTCAATTATTTTGTTTCTCTGTCTGTTTGTCTGTTTGTACAGGCTAATTTCCGAAACTGTTAGACCGATTTAAATCAAATTTTGCCTGGTGGTATTTTATATCCCTGGTCAACATCTTAGATACTTTTCATTCCGGAAAATTAAAGATTTCCCGTGGGGTAGTACACAAAAACTATTGATTGGATAATGGAACCTTACAATAATATAGTTCATATATCATAATAATAAATAGGTACTTTTATCCCGGAAAAATGTACGGTTCCCGTGGGATAGACTTGTTTTTGATGCGAACCCGAGCGATGCCTATTACACGTTTTTCTGTACATTTTGGCAAAAAAATTAATGTTATAATCTATTATTATTTTAACTAAATATATTTAATACTTTCTTAGATTTAAGCGAATATTTGACATTTTAAATAAATTTAATAATTTTTTTTTATTATTAAAATATTTGTTATATGTAGTGATTAAAGTCTAAATATATATTCCATCTATTCGTTTATATTTTAATTGTACAGCGGCGACCCAAAAGAAGGGTGAGTGTTTGATCTGTATGCATGCATGTCCGATCCTATATTCCCTCGTAACTCCTAAACGGCTTAATCGATTTTGTTCAGTGTATAATTCGTCAGATTCGCCTTAATCATGCCAGTATGTTAACGCAAAATGAGCTCGAATACTAACTCAAAGTGCATCAAACTTTTAGCAAAAAAAATTAACTGCAAAAAAAGGAATTAATAGTATTATGCATTTGCAGACATACACGTTTAATACTTGCTGCGAATCTTGCTATATGTCACTTATAAACGTCAGCTAGCCTCCACATTTTTAGTTTTCTCTTTACGGCCTCTTTCTCTATACATATAAATTTGCCTCACAAAAGTTTGTTTCCTCGCCGATTAGACAGTTAAATACAGTTTTTAGAAACATTTCATTATGTTTAAATTTTCTTTTTAAGTGTCCTTGCATATCACATTTGAAGTCATTTTTTTATGTCATAAAAAATACTATTTAACTTTTATATTATTTAATTTTTCAGAGCCGATAATATTATGTCAAATGCATATAATATATTAAATATAATAACATTCAAAAGTAAAAAAAAAACGGTGCTAATTGTTATTCCACTGACGTAGGTACTCGAAACTAATAACAAAATCTATACATATAATAAAATTGTAACCAAGCCGAATCTGTACATTTAACATTTTTTGGAAAATCTTATTGAAATAGACATAATTATCAATACAGAGGTCGAATCTATAGTTCTAGTTCTAGTTCTAGTAGTCTGTCTGATACCGCATCACGGAAAATCCACTGGAGGGATTTTGATGAAATTTTGTATGATGGTAACTGGTTATCCGGGTCAACATATAGGATATTTTTTACTGCGGGAAAATATACCATTTCTGAGAAAAAATACAAAAACTACAATGTAATGTAAATACTAAAATGTAAAACCTAAGAATTTGGATTTTGGTTATCTGAACGCGGGCAATGCGGGCGATGCAATAATAATAAAAAAAACCGACAGCATAAAAGTTAACTAAAAAGATGAAAATACGTTGACATAGTATTAAGCAGTCGGGGGCATACACGTTTCACCCTTGACCCTTTAATAATTAAAAATACTAATATAATGTTTCTTAGTGTTCAGTTTGTGAACAAAAAACGTGATTTTTTTAAATTCAATTTACAAATGTTTGTTAGAAGAATACTAAGTTTATTTCATTTTATCTATTTAATTAGGCAAAGATTTTTGAGACTGTTGAATTACGTATAACTAATTTATTTTTTTATCGCATAACTAAAATAAATGAGCATTTAGACCGATCGGAAAAATTAAAACCTGAAGTTTAACGTCTTTAAAACGTTAGCAGATATATGAGGAACAAAAGTCCGTAAAATACCCCCGATGTCCAGCTATCCTCGAGAAATATAGGGATGAAAGGCGTTAAAAATAGTTTTTTTTTTCAAATTTGCATAAAACCCGTTTTTCAATTTTTTCTTGGTTTTTATTTTTAAATTCTGCAATATTTTTTTATATGCATGATAATACTAGAGTAATCTTCAAAATACTTATAATAACAAAAAAAAGAAATATTTAGCCGTTTCCGAGAAATTTATGTTTTATGGTCTCTCCCGTGAACATGATTCAAAACGTCGGGAACCAAAAATCAAAATAAATCCGCGAAATAATCCGAAAAGATAGTTTAATTTAAAACTTCCAGTTCTAATTTTGATTTCATCAGCATCAAAGATAGTATTATATAGTACCTAATATCTATACACCCAATCAAATATATATATATATATATATAAATTTTCTTGTCACGGTGCTTGTGATCGCACTCCTCCGAAACGGCTCGACCGATTTTAATGATTTTTTTTTGTATATTTGGTAGGTATGAAAATACATCGTAAAGTATTTTCCACAACGAACTTTTAACAACGTTTGAAGGGTCAGCTAGTATGTATAATAAAATATAAAAGTATAAAGTATATTACAATATACACGCAAAATCGACTATGACGCCTCAGGTGTGTCGCGTCGTGCTTAGTTATATATAAAAGCAACTTTTTCCGCCACTATTTGCTTAGAATAAATCACTGAATAGAGTCGCGCTGTAGAGAGATCTCTACTTTATACACATTTATGTAGAGACGTCAAGTTAGCGCGTTATTTGAATTTATATACATCTGTTGCGCATGCGTTTTATTAATACTAAAAATATTTTAACTAAAATAAAAGTATTGATTTAGAATAAAGTTAAATTATTTATGTATAAAATTATTTTAATATTTCGTTTAGTTTGACGTGATGATAATAAGAGTATTGTGTGTTTTGTGTGTGTTGGGGACGGCGGTCACCATCGAGCTTACAGGTACTTATTTATTTATTTATTTACTTCTTTTTACACATTGTATCAATTCAATGATCACTTGTGTACGTCAATTAGAAGACTTAAACTAAAGCTACGAGGGTTCGTAACGCGCCCTGGTCTGAGAAGAACCCACAAGAAACTCAGCCAAGTAACATTTTTTTTATTGTGATCATTGTTTCACAAACATCCTTACTTCAGTATAAAGAGCAATTCATTCCCAAGCTTTTTTATCACTTAAATAATCCTTTACATTATAATAGGATTTATTTATTAATTATAATTATAAAATTATATAATTTAATTACATACATACATACATTGTGCACTAACGTTTTATATTTATTATTAATTCTATTCTTATTAATTTTCATTCATAATACCACTATAAGAAACAAAAATATATATAATAATTAAAATAAAACAAATTGCCGGTGCCAAATTCATCATTTATTTAAACGATATGAAATTACTGTGAATCTTTTATTTAGGGTATTCTACAGTTGTCTTTGTGCCACGCCTTTGATCCTTAGATAAATGTTAACAAAATTATAATATAACTATCTTTTCGGATTTTTTCTTTTCAGCAATCATGTTCATGGGAGAGATTGATTGCTGTAATGCATTCGAAACTTCGGGAATCAAAAATCAAAATAAATTCGCGAAAAAATGCGAAAAGATAGTTTTATTTAAAATGTCAAATATTCGCGTATTATTTATATATTTCGCGTAAATCTAAGAAAGTATTATGTCAAAATTTTTTATCTTTCTGTGATAAAAATAATTTTGAGTTTCATTTGATCAAAATAAAAGCTTTCTTTGCCGTGCGCTGACACTCTCGTGTTGTTACAGCAGTTTGTTATTATTATCAAAAAATAGATGAAATCTAAAACAAAGATTTTTTACAGCTCTAAAACTGCTAACTTAAAAAAGTAATTGATGTAACACGAATTAAACGAGAATCTATTTTATCTTCTATTCTATCTAAATAAAATAATTTCAATAACTACGGTTAGCATAAGCAAGTAGGTTAAACTTGTATGCAGCCATTTTTAACGCCCTCCTGCTGAGCACGGGCCTCCCTTCAATACGAGGGGGATCAGGTCAGATTTTTTCACAAAGCTTTTCTTCAAAAGTGCAACAAGGCCAAAGCTTAACTTTTTTAATTTAATTTGATTACAAATTCAAATCGAAACTTTTCTGGAATTTTATTTACCTGCATCACAGGTTAGTAGAAAAGTGCTGTGTATGGTGTATCCAGGAAAGATAGAGTTTAATCCCATTGTTTATTTATCTCTTTACTAACTATAATTATGTAATTAATAGTATAATCAGTATTTATTTTCTCTTAATATGATATTATTTTTTTATTTAATGTATATATTTTTTTAATTTTAATTAATTTGCTGGCATTATTGTATGTATTATTTATTGGTGAAAATTTGATTATTCGATGATTTATATTTTATGTTTTGTTTTTTAAAATTAAAAATAAATTACAAATTATTTTATTCTTTATATATATTTTTATTATTTATAGGTCGGTAATAACTACATACCTAAGCAATACATTCGGGTCTTAGCGTTAGTTTCGCAAATGAGATCGACGATTGTTTTTTTTTCTAATATTTTCTTAATGCTGCTTTAAATATCTGATTAGATATCTATTCTAAATGAAAACCCCCGTTTAGTATTTTTTTTACATTTCAGTGCTTGGCAGTCGGTTTTTTTAAGTTCTTATTTTTCTGTCTAGTGTAGACGTAATAAGCACGTTATTTGTAAGAAGTAAGTTTTTTATTAATAACATATTCGATTATGCAAATTTATTTAAAAAAATTAATGTATTTGTTGATTTCTTAAAAAACCGCTCGATCGATTTCGATAAAATTTACATGGGACCACCTGGGAAGTATATCCTTTGAAACAAAAAAAAAACCAAATCGGGTCCGACGTCTTCGAGTAATCGGTGAACATACATTAAAAAAAAGATAAAAAAATTAAAAAAGGAAATAGATGATTCAAATATAAATTCAACAAATAGACAAATCTTATCAATATCATCTTACTAATATTATAAATGTGAAAGTTTAGATGTTAGGATGGATGTTTGTTACTCAATCACGCCAAAACGGCTGAATTATAAGCCCAAACATACACCATGTGTACGTACCGTTATATTTTTATACCAGTAAGTGGTTTTTTTTGCTAATGAATTTATTTGGGCGTTACTGTTCAGAGGTCATCTCCGTAAGCCGTTTAGCTAATTTGCATAAAATGTAAGGCATAGAAAAAATATGCTATGAAGCAATCAAAAATAATACCAGTGCTATTATTAAAAAAATATTACAGATACATATTATACATACAGAGGTACAGATTATAAAATTATTTAAAAAAATCTTTTTTATTTTTTATTTTCTATATATTATAGGTACATAATAAAACTAAATTAGGAACAGTTCTATATTAATTAATTACTTTTTGGGAAAGACCACTTCAGAGCATATTTTTGGTAAAATAGAAAATATGATGAGATATGTTTTACACTCACCTTTACCTAAATTAAAATTATATTTTTAGAGATAATGTGAAAAATTATAGCTTTCATAAAAGCTAACGCTTTCATAAAAAAATGCATGTTGCATTGAATTCTTAATTAATATATATCTAAATTATTGTTTTCTCGCAATATTTCAAAATTAGATATAATTTTAATTTGGCATCATTTAATATTTGGATACAGACTAAACAATTATATAGGTGGAGTCGGCTAAAATAAATGTCAAAGTCAAAAATAGAAGTGTGATGTGTGTGTGTTTGTGTGTGTGTCTCCGACGGCATAATAATGTGCTTTTTCGTCAACTTCTTCCCATCTTTTTAGTTCGCTTTTTATGCAGTTGGGTTTATTTTTTATTTATAGTGCTATGAAGAACTGTCTATATTATTCTTAAGTAAAAGGTATAAGTATTTGACGAACAATAAAAACTTTTTAAAATAAAACTGATTGGTAAAATGATTGGTAAAATATAACTGATTGGTAGTTTTCAATTACTATACATACCTACCTAATCAAATATTTTCGAAGTCGGTGTGCTTTGCTTTGTATCCGCATTAAATGGGACCAATCTGGAAGTATACACTTCCAAACAAAACAAAAATTGTCCAAATCGGTTAATAAATGACGGAGTTCTGAGGTAACAAACATAAAAAAAATATACTGCCGAATTGAGAACCTCCTCCTTTTTGAGGAAGTCGGTTGAAAAACTACATTACAATTACTCTGTCTAATTAATGCTAATATGAACTGATTAAATAAATTTCTTCGTTCAGTAGCATATCATAGTTTTAAATAAAAAATAAAGTAGGTTTATTATTATACATTAGTGATGTACTCAATGGAAAGCGCGTTACTCAATAACTTTTTACAAAAGATTAACATCCCGCGGGAACTAGTACAAGTACTGAGATTCAGAGTAGCCTAGGTATGTCATGTCTCGGCCCATGAACTATTTCTATTTAAAAAGTGACATCAATTTGTTGCTCCGCATTTGTATAAAAGAAAAAAAAACAACCAAATTATTATAATAACAACGCTTTTAATTTATGAACATTTTATGCGATTACCTGCATATGTATATTTACGTCCTATCGGAAGAGCACTGAGCGTCGAGGTGACTGAGATCGGTTTCCAAAATGCTATTAATTAATTGTACTTGCATCAAATATATCGTAAAAGCTTTTTGACATCGTGCGAATAACTTATGACAGAGATAAATAAATAATATTAGTAATAAATTCGACGACACGCTTGGCTCTATTTGTAATGGCCCTACTGGCTGTACAAGGCGTCGCGGTTTCGAGTCCCGCTGGGGGCATTCATTTGTGTGATGAGCAGGGTTTTTTGTACTTCAGTCATGGGTATTTATAGGTATTTATAATATGTATGTATTTAAAGTTGTGTAGTATATCAACTATCTGGTATCCACAACACAAGCCTCGGAGCTTACCATCGAACTAGATGGTGCTGTGTGCTAATGTCCCAACATATTTATATTTATTTGCGGGACCCTGAAAACCTTAAGTTAGGAAGAAAACCCTTGTAACAAAAAAAAATTGCAAACAATAACAGTGAAGTAACATCGAGGCCTCTGAAGCAAAGTCGAGTCGCTTATTTCTAATTAGCTCACAATGAACTAGTATTATGTAGCAGATTGCACCATCTTGAATAATAATAATTGGCATTACGCGGGAAATTACACTTGTTGTGTTACATTCGTTTATTGTACTCAGATCTGATGGACAATGAATGCTAATGAATATTATAATCTTCATGAAACTATAAATTACTTATTTGTTAATGAGTAAAGTAATCATTTTAAATTATCCTATGCTAGCGACTTAACGTCACTTCGGGTGCGTTGGGTGCGTTGAAGCGCCATCTTTTGGCAATTTTTAGTACAAACGGTAGCCTACTTCAGGTCTAGAAATTTTAGCATGAGAGAGTAAAAAGGTCCACACACATACAAACATTCGTAATAATAATAGTAGTTACATATGTGGGGGTTGTTGATAGATGTAAATTGATAGAGTCTACTGAGAATGTTTTATATGATTGATTTATTAGAAACTAGCGGCTCACCCTCGCTTCGCTCGGGTTCACCTCTAGAAAAGCACAAACAGATCTATCCCACGGGAACCGTTCATTTTTCCGGGATAAAAATAAGTAACCTGTTGTTTGATCTGCAATATAAGGTATCAGCATGCCAAATTTTACTAAATTAGGTGCATAAGTTGTTGTGTACTGAGCTGTATAAGTTACTATAATTTTTTAACTATCCCACGGGAACTCTTTAATTTTCCGGAATGAAAAGTATCAAATTTCATTTAAATAGGTTCAATAGTATCGGAGATTAGCCCGTACGAACAGACAAACAGACAGAGAAACAAAAAAATTGAAAAAATCTGGATTTGTTCTATTTCTCTCCTTACGGGATGTAAGAAGA